ATGAGCAGAATATATTTATTGAGGGAAAGAAAGCTCCTGTCCGAGAAAGGGACAGGAGGGGGGCCAGAACGAGTAGTCTCCAATAAGACAATATTTTGTGGAAAATAACTATTTTCCAACCCTTCCCCAAATAGAAGAATGACATTAATTTATATCTTTATGAATCGATAGCTAGACAGGCATTATGTGATACATACCTATATCCCAGCACTCAGAATGCTGAGGCAGGAGGATCATGAGTCTGACACTAAACTAAACTACATAGTAAGTTTAAAGCCAGCCTGGACTGTTTATTGACCCCATGCCCACTTGGGTGGGGGGTGTGGGGGGGGTATATGTGTCCTGTGATACTAGGGCTTAAACCCAGGCTTCTCACATGCTAGTGCAAGTGCTATGCCACTAACCTACATCCCCAGAATTTTTTTTTAATAGAAAAGACATTCTCCTAGCTGCTTCCTACACTGTTAGCCCTCACAGTAACATCACAACACCTTACATTGTTTCTAGGAAGCTGTGTGTTGTATGATATGAGATGGGAAGGCTGAAAAGGGCAAACTGGGAACGTGGAATATGGTGAGGGTAGCACACACAGGCCTTTAGTAGTAAGGTCCTTAGGGATCGTTTGTCTCATCTTAAACCACAAATATCTTTAAGGGATGAAAATTTCAAGACATGAGGGCTAGAGAGATACCTTGGCAGTCTAAGCGCCTGCCTGGCAAGTGCAAGGACTGGGTTTGAACCTCAGTACCACATACCATGCCAGTCCTGGGGAACCAACCGAGCATGGTGGTGCACACCTGTAATCCTAGCGCTGGGTAAGCTGAGACAAGGAGGATCACTACGAGTCTGAGCTGCATATTGAGACCCTGTACCAAATATATAAATGAAAGATTTAAAAATTTCAAAGACCTCAAGACATGACAGTATATCAGTATCTTGTTAATTCTTAGATGCAAACCCCATCTTTATTATTCTAAAGCTATATAATTACGGTCAGGTCATTCAAAAGGATTCTGTTTGGAGAATGAAGGTAATGATAGTATCATTTCTACCTCACAAGATTGTTGTAAGTGGGCTGGGGAGATGGCTCAGAAGAATAAGCGCTCAATCCCTGGTCCACCCAAAAAAAAAAAAAAAAAAAGATTGTTGTAAGAATTGAAGGAGCTACTATGAATGGGAACACTTGGTAAACTAGGAATCATTATACAAATGTTAATATGGATTGACTTCAGTATCTTTTTGTTCACTGCTTACATATTTTTTTTAACATTTGTGTGTGTGTGTGTGTGTGTGTGTGTGTG